GTGGCCAATACGGGGTGATGGATCGGTTAGTGAAGTGTTTTTGAATCTGCTCCGGTCTTTACGGGCGAGAGATGATATTCCGCCTTCGCTGAAGCATTGTGGATATCTTACCGGTGAGTTAAACGAGCACTAGGATAATTGTCTGCTATCTTGAGACACTGAGAGGCACTATTCAACTCTTGCAAGTGTAGCGGCAAGTGGTACCAGGTGACGTCCTGCCGCTGGGAAAATTTTTGCAAATTAGACAGTTTCCCCTCGAAATTTCCACCCTCTGATTAGATCTTTCCCATCCCATCTTCCCAAAACTTTTCTCGTTTAGCGCGTTTTTTTTCTCGTGAAAATCCCTCCACTTTTCCCAAAGTGCTGTCGAGCGGGAAGATGGGGACGTTGTGGCGCTTTTGAAACAGGAAAAACTGAGATGGGTCTTCTTCTTCCTCTTCTTCAGCATTTTTCCCGCTCGGTGGCAGTATCCGCTCTTCTTATTTTGTGACGCCACGTCTCCTGATTGAATGCCTGGTCGGGATGGGTACCAACGATCTTCAAGCATGCAACGCGTCGAGTCAGCGCTGTTTGGGGCGTCCCTTACGTCGCTTTCCGGGCAACTCGAGCTCGGGACAATCTCACGGACGATGTCAAGACTAGCACGCAGTACATGACCGTACCATCGGAAGCGAGATTCGCGCATTTTCTCGGCTATGGAAGCTACACCGAATCTCTTGCGTTTGTCTCCATTTCGAATGGAATCCATTCGCGTGACGCCAGCCACCATTTAGCGGTTTTTTTTCACCATTTAGCGCAACCGTTCAAGTCCACTGCTTCTTAGAAGGTGGTGGCTATGATTTGTAGTAATAATATGAGAAATTGGCTCTGTTCACCCCTTGCCACCTCAACTGTAGAAACTCTGGCCTTATTTGATCGGAATTTTTCCTTTAGGGTAGATTCGGTTAGAGTTTTGTACCCTGGGTAGTTTGTCCACATACGGTTTTAGTTGAAGCGCCAGTGTTTCACCAACTGTGGTCGTCTGTCAGCTTGCTCAATCGGTGGAGAAGTGGCTGACATCTCGCCAAGCTCAGCCCACTGAAACACCCCCTCCCCAGCGCTCGCAGCGAACTAGCCTCATGAAACCTTTTTCTCCTCAATGGATCTCACTTGAAAATAATCATTCGTTTTATTTTCAGATCGTCTTTCTGCTCATGGTGTGCTGGTTTCATCGGAACGTTTGTCAAAACTCACAAGGGTACAGCAAGATTCTCAATGTGGTGCTGATTTGTCTCCGATTCAAATGTACAATCTACTGGAATACAGGGATATAGAGATTTGTAAGTGCTCTGGAAGGCATTATTTTTGAGTAATCTCTCTCTTTTCTCGTTTACAGCAACATTCGAACATCACATTTGTTCAAATGAGTTTCGCTTCCTCCATCTTGGCGAAGAAGACACGGAATTGCTTTCGAAAAAGATTGAGGTATGTCTTACGTTATGTATGTTCGGAATAAGAAAGTTTGTAAGTTTGAGAAAACAAGCGGTATACAGTGCTTGCCGTCTCAGGGCACATGTCAACCGGGAAGCCTCTATTCTCTTTCCTTTTTTCTTCCTCCTTCCTTCTTTTCCTTCCTCCCTTCTCTGATCCCTCCTCCTTTACCTTCTCCCTTCAACTACTGGACTGGTAGATGCCTCGAGAAAATACCCCTGGACCCTCGCAGCGAGAGCACGTCTGGTTGACAATTGCCCCGTAACCCAGTGCTTGCAGGAGTTGCGCGTAAATTTAAATGTGTCGTGAGTGCACGCAATTGGGAATACAGTGAGCTGGTTCAGTCACCCAAGCTGGCAGAGGATAAGGCTTCGGAATGAGGGGAGGGGCTGCCTAGGTGAAAACTGAGTGGTGTTGTGTGCACTCGCTGCTCGTACACACTCAGATTTACGCGCACTTTGGGACACTGTATATTTCCCCGCTTTCCTTTATTTAAATTTAGTTTGGAATAAAGAGCTTGAGACTGCTATCAATGCTGTTTCAGGTGCGGTCTACTTCATCAGGTCTTGTAGAGGGTGTTCTATACTGGTGGCAATTGGATCATTATTATTCGACGCGACAGGATCGCGGAACCTTTTTCATATTCAGGGAACCGATCTCAGTGAATGTCGGCACTGTGGTGAGTTATACTCATTTTGCTCAATGAATTCTGCAACGAAAGTGACTTCATTATAAGGCAGGAAGACGACCGAGGGGCGCAGTTTGACGACGGGGGGCATTTTGTACTATCATTGCTTCCTTAGTTCCGGTTTACAAGTCTCACTCTGGCGAAACCTGTGAACTCTTGTGAAGCTGGAGCAAGCTCACCAGCCTTCGCTAGGTCGACACGTCGATGGGAAGTAGTGAAAGTGCAAAATGCCCCCCCCCCCCATCGTCCTGCACCCGACCGAGGTTTTTCTAAACCCACAAAAGAAACTCGAAGATTTCCTAAGCCATGTGCATGTAAACGCCTTTCCGTTATTGTGATTTGAAGTCACATTCCGCCATTGGGAGTCGCGGATGGTGGGGTAATTTTGTACGTGCTAACTGACTTACCAGTGAAGAAATAATTGAAAAGGAATCCGTGGAAAACGCGACAAGTTAGGCCTGCTTGGTTTTGCATTGGACGAGCATGAATAGAGGCGCAGAGAAGCAGAGCGCATGGCTGAGGATACAGCCATACTAAGCGAGAGGCACGGATATGGGGCGCGACCGCGATTCAGGGCACAGCATTCGATGGGGATTTTGGTCGAGCCTGTACGACCCCCGCCCCCCCCTTTTTTTTGCGGCGGTTTCGCGTACCCCGCACCCCCCCCCTTTGCCCCGTCTTACGGGTTTTCTCGGCACTTAAATGAGAACTACTGAAAACGCCACTGATGAAATTCCTACCATTTATGAAGCGTGCATACTAAATGGTATGAGCTTGAAGTCATGACATAATAGAAACAATAACAGAGATGATTGCAACAAAACAACGGTAACAAATTCCGTTTAGTGGGGAGAAACTCGTTATGATGAACTTTCGATGGCCGGTTTGAAACACACTCGGCGGGACTAATAATAAACGATGGTATCGCAAATTAAATTCATATGAAGCAGTCCGTTAACTGCGTGAACTCCCTCTCTGAGCGGCCATCAAGGACCACAGTGTTAACAAGTTCTAATTCCCCAAGATGGACGAGGAAAAGAGAAAAGTTAGGGCTTTTCCACTAGTGACAGTCTATACGAAAAACCCGCCCGTAACATGCTATACCCCCGATTATGTGGAGAGTACGTTCGTAGCGAGGAAGGCGCATGTTAATGCGGCTGGCAGGAGATTATTCGGGGATTTGAAGCCGATGGGAGCCCGGAGAATTGTCCAGTATGGGTCTTTGAAGAGGACCATAACTTCCTCAAAAGCGGACCTGTGGGGAAGAGGAGACCGTATTCGTGTAGAGGAAGGTTTGCACTTCCTAAAAGTACTGAAACGTTTATGAAGGTCGCGCCCCCAAAATCACCCCAGAAAGAAATCTGCCGTGAGGATTTCGTTGGGAGTTTGATTTCAACTGAACTTGGTTTTGGAATCAATAACATTTTTTTGAAAAAGCTTTTTTTTCCAAAAACCCCATTTCACAAATCTGAGAATGGTTTCGAGTGTTTGAAGATTTTCTCTTTCTAAAACCTCTTGAACTGTTTCTGAAGCTCTCGGGATTCATGAGATCTCGCTATGGGGATTTCTTGAGGAACACTCCCAGCTGCGCGAAAAACCCGTTTCCTGTGTACCGTTTCAAGTGAGCGTGTTCGAATAGCCAGGAACGCATGTAAGCATCGTCTTCCTGGTGGTGGGAGCAGGGGGGAGCGAGCGCCAGGATTATTTTTCGCGTTCTCGTTTTTTTTTTAGCGCCCCGATCATCGCCATTTGGTACTGCGCCCGGCCCGCACTGAGGGCCGCGCCAGAGGTGATGGGATGGTGGCCTGCAACTTGTGCGTAATGTCTGTTCACGCGAGCATATGTGTCTATAAGGTTCAGGGAGGTCCATGGCGAGCCTGTGCACCTGTTTACAGTGTTTTCCGTTGGCATGATGGGGGGGAAACATGTCCCTGTCTGAAGCTGCTGCGCAGATTGGGTGCTCTGCAATCGCTGACTCAATTAAAGGAGACAACTGCTGGAAAACGTCTGATATGAACGATATGGTAGTCCTGTCGCTTGTCGAGAAAAAACAGGTTGGCTCAGCGCCAAGCGCGACCGCGGACACGCCATATCATTGGCAGCGAACCAGAGTTTGAGTTGTACTGTTTAGTCACCAACGGACTTACGAGATAATGTCGACTTATTAATATTTGCAGTTATTTCGGATTAGTTTGATGAATGAAAGTTTTGTACTATTTTTTTTGCATATCCGAGTTCTCTACAAAGCGAAGTTTTCGTTGTCGACAGGGCAGCTCCAGCAGCATTGACAATTTGGCCTGGCTCGGTTTACTGGCTGTTGGCCCCTCACTCCTACGAGCGGCCCCGCCCCTTCCGGGCGGCCAAATCACGACCCCCTTGTCGGGGATTCCAACCAACGATGCTGCCCTGCCGCGATGCCAACCCTTACCGAGGCCTTCGTCATACCAGTATCTGCTCCGCGACACCCGTCGCCACAGCAGCAATGTCCTGGACAAACTTCGTCCAAATCGGCCATACTGAATGGCGTGCATACACTCCAACTTCGTAGGGACGCCAGAGCGCAGTCGCCCCAATTCACGCGTGTACCGCCGGACCGAGTGAATCTCCGAGTGACCGCGATCGGGGCGGGGGGGGAAGTTGGCCAGACCTATAATCTCGAAACAGTAACGTCAGATAATTCAATTATCGATGGGCGGAGCCACATTGAGGAAGGAGGCAAGTCCTAGCCGATATGCTCGCTTCGCATTTCGAATGTAAATTCGGGTTAACAGAAAGTACCAAATCTACGGGGCAGCGGATCGAGGAAGGAATTTCGTACGGCGACGTATGTGCATCCAGGGAACTGTGTCTTCTGGCAAACGTCAGCGAGCCTGTTGGGGCTCCCGTCTGGGGATGAAAGGCAGTTCCTTTGGTTGCCTACCCATATTACGTAACGCGAAATTAGTTAATATTTTTCGCCGTTCTGGTTAAGTGCATTGCAAGGTAGTATTTTGTCCTTCTAGAACCATCTTTATGTCAATGATCCCACCAAAATGGGCGAAGTAAGTAGGGATAAGGAAAACCAAGCCCCCTCGTTGCTGGCTCTTAATAATTTGTTGTTTCCAGCTCAACATCACTTGCGATGTCTACTGTGGCTCAATTCTCCTTTCTGCTGAAATCGCGTAACGCCGATTGGAAAAGAAATGATTTCTGAGAGATCATCCAGTGGTCGTTACACTCGTACCTCTAGTTCCTTTCTCTTTCTCGTCAACTTGTCAAATTTCGTCCCTTTTTTAAGGAAAGTCACACTGTACAAATTTCTGTAGATTTACGCCGAATATATTGTACTTTTTCGATGCAATCACCTCTTGCCTTACTGTTAACGGTCACGGTTTTTTGAGCCGACCCGGTATGAAGAACTGGTCTTGTGTGTTGTATCTACTGCTTTCCTTGTCCGAATGAAGATTTCTTGTAGGAGCGCTGGCATTTTGTATTTTTTCGGTTACGTGAGTTGAGCGGCGCTAGACACGTGCGGTCGTGACGCGGGTATGGGGTTTCATGTTGTCTAGAGAGAAGTGACATTTGTAATTTGGGAAGTTATTCCTTTTTTAACACCTGAACTGAAATCGATCTTTTTTATTATAGATCAGTATGAATTTCACAAAAAAAAACGCGAAATCTACAAAAAGCACCTGATTGCAGTGAAATTACATATCACTGTGCGAATATCACAGGAAAAAATATGAGAAGAGCCCGCGTGAGTGAGAAATGGGCGTTAGTCCAATATGGGTCCGTAGTCCTATACCTTTATTTAAACTTAATGGATCAGAACATGTTACGGCATCGCGTTCACTTGGGGGGGGGGGGCTCGGGAAAGTTGAACAGATTCCCACGAAGTTCTAGACTTCAGACATATTTGAAAGTAATCTGTAGTAAAACTGATGAATGTGTGGATAGCAGAGAAATTTTATCGCTGTGCCCGAGTTGGCCGGCATCAGACACGTGCGGTCGCGATGCGTACGTGAGGTTCCAAGCCGTCAGACGTCATGTGATATCTTTACATGTCCTAACACGCATTGTTCTAGACTGCAGACCCATATTACACTAGCGCGCTATGAATCATTGGTGAACAGAAAGACTGTGTGTCATAGAAGGCAAGATCTGTGGATGAAAAAAGACTTACAAGGGAACCCCAACAGGTCGATCCGGCCGTTTGCAATGAGATGTACACATGTGGACGTGTCTTGAGCCGCTGAATCCAAATCTACCCTCCGTTTTTGCGGAACGATTCTCTGAACGGAGTTATGGGGCTTTTTCCACCGCATTTACCACGCAACAGGTCGTGGGATCGAATCCCTGCTGGGCTTCACTTTTTTGCTTCCTGCGCAAACGTGGCAAAATGTGGTTTTGCTTTCACTACTACTTCAGTGCTCACCTAATCTTGCCTGAAGAAAACTTTGCGTCCATTTATGAATGCGCCTAGGCACCTTGTAGAAGCCTTGTAGTGCAGGAAAATATTGGGGTGTACAGGTGCCCGTCGTGCGCGATACAGGCGTTTTCACGCTCAGCGAGTGCCATATTCGTGTTCAGCGGGTCAAAATACCTTTATACACAAGTTGCTAGCCAAATCTGGCATTTTGACCTGATTTCCATAATTGAACCATCCATGGGTTAGTTCAGCTGATGTTCACACCTATTCAGCTGCAGATACATTTGCCTGCACAACGCCTTGTCTTGCACCTTCTTACGCATTCATTTTGTTACTGCTCCAGTTTTCCTGGTATATAGAAGAAAATTCCGGCCAAAGACAGGCAATCGACAAGAGACTGGCCCTGGAACTAGTGGTGACCACCATCGGATCAACTGCTACCGGACTTTTGAAGATAGGTCAAGACCTCATATCTGGCTAGAAACCTGTCCCCAAGGGTAATTTTGCTCCCTGAACACGAATATGGCACCCATTTGACGTTTGAATGCATTCTAGACTTAAAAGAGACATTCCCCACAGAATTTAAATGCAACTCCGTTCAGAGAATCGTTCTGCAAATTTCGAAGGCAGATTCGAGATCAGCGTCCAAAACCACGTCTAGTGAACTATATTTCATTACGAATGGCCACTTGGACCTGACGACCTTCCCTAGTAGTAGGCGACCTTCTCCATTCCTCGATGCGAGCTCTAGAAACGGTCATTCTCATTGGAGTTCTCATTCAAGTTTTCAGAAGGTGTAACAGATGGAGCAATGATCGCTTCTATTGTCAAATAATCAGAGATTCAGTCAACTGGCCAAACAGAAGTGTTCTGGGGACTCGTATGGAATGTTCTGAACAAAAGCAAAAATGTTCGGAGTGTCAAGGATTCCAACATGCGACATCGTGTTCCTGAATCAGTGCACTTATCCACTAGGCCATCGGCGACCTGCCGTGAGCAACCATCCCTCTCAACTTATACAACGAGCAAAGATTTGATGGTCCGTAACTCCGTTCAGAGAATCGTTCCGCAAAAACGGAGAGTAGATTTGGATTCAGCGGCTCGAGATACGTCCATATACCTACTTCTCATTGCAAATGGCCGGGTCGACCTGTTGGGGTTCCCTTGTTAGAAGAAAGATCGGTAGTCTATACCAAAAACAGCCACTTATCATTCAAAGTAGCTTAGAGCCAATTCGAAACAAAAGAACAATAATTAGACTAGAAAAATAAGTAATATATACGAAAAAATAGCATATAAATATCATAGATCTCTAATGAAGGAAATATTGCGGAAGTATTAGGTATTTGTGCATTGTCCGCTTTTCATCGACACATTATCCATAGCCATTGTTCGGTGTTCGCTGGCTGAGTTAACGAATAAGAGAAATATCTGAAAATAAAGCGATTTTAGGATGCGTTCATACTCGGATGGCGACTGGCGATGAGTGAGAGAATCCAATCAGGGGTTTCTGCCCGAGGGAAAGCGGACCAGGTGGAGGTCCTATATCGTGCCTGGTCATAGCGAGAAATTTCCAGTTTTTCTGAGCCCCCCTTTCCCAACCACTATTTTCTCTATAATTCGGAAGTAGTTCTCTAGTGACGACCTCCTTCCCTCCGCTCCCCATTCGACGGCAGGCATTTTCTCGGGCAAACCGGCAAAATTTTCATTTTCCACGAAAAAAACTTCTATGTTCTTGCCACCTTCCCCCCCCCCCCCCCCAAACACCACTACTTCTGGTAGATGATACTGGTAGTTCTTTGATGAGGACCTGCTCCTCCGCCACCCCGCTCGAGGCGGTTTTCTTCGAGAAAAACGGAAAACCGGAGGAACTCTTGGAAAATCGGTTTGGAAAAGTGGAAGGAGGTTGGGGAAAACTTCGGAAGATGGCAGGTAGGATGGGAGAAAAGGTGGGGGGGGGTGTTCGCGCCGCGGTAAGAAGTTAGGGGTGTCTCCCAGCCTGCCCCTGAATGGCGAAATCGACAGTGGGCTGGATTTTAGCACATTCTTGCATACAAAAAGGAGTTTTATGTTGGTTTAATGAGGTTCAAAACCTGACCCGATCGGCTTGTTTAACTCTGATCCTGGCTTTGACGCGATTCCACGCCTTTGCTGTGACTTTCTGTGTTTGACATCTGGAAATGATTGGAGTCTGATTGCAAATGAATTTAACCCTGAAGCTGTTCCCAGACTTACCGCTGAAGATTGTCGACACAAATCCGTACGTCGATACCTTCAGTGGGGTAAACGTCCACAGACAACGCTATTGGGCCTTTGAATGATCCTCGGCGGAGAAGACCAGACGAGCCACCGCCGGCCAGTTGGGATAGTCCGTAGCGATTTGCTGCAATTTTTAAGAGCTCGGAGGGAGGGCGTAGTAAAGTTGTGGCGCTCTTTATCCTCTACTTTGTAACAAGTTAAACACCACCTAACCCAGTTAACTATTCGCATCACCTAAAGGCTCATTCCGCGATGATCAAATGGGCGGGGGTCACATAGTGTCTTGTTCTTTGGCACGCCCCAATATGGTGAAGAGGAGAGGTCTCTTTACGCGATGTTTATGAGTCTTCGTCCATTCCTGCGCACATCTAATTGTCGCAGAGTGTTCCTTTAGGTCCGAGCTCGTCAACGGCGAATTCCCACACCGAATTTCCATGATGAGGTGTGAGCTGGCGTGAGGGAGCGCGAGCGGAGTATGGAGACGGCACCCACCCGGCAATCATAACCGTCGAAACCCGTCCTTCATAAGTTTTTATAAATTCAGGAAAACAGGGGAGATACAGTATCCTAGAATTGAGACGTAATAGCGGCGAGTATACGCGGTACACCTCAGTTATCGCCAAGGCAGCAATTGGATACGGGTGAAGAGCAGAATGGGCGTCGTCGCTCTTACTAATAAGGAATATCTGAGCTGGTCAGTAAGCAGAGAGAGGTGGATTTCAAAATCGAACTGACTTTGGTTTTGCTTCGACGCGATGCTGAAATTTCCGTAGCTCTTGTCCATCCTATACATATCGATCCATCTGCGAAAAAAAGGAAATTTTCTTGGCAATCGGCCAACGCGTGGATGACTTACCCGCATTCGTGTTCCTTCTCAAAGTCACACAACGACGTCACACACTGCGAGCATTTGCATGCAATTTGATCGCCATCAGCTTGACATCGTCCAGAGCTGAACCACGGTTTGTATGTTAAGTAAAGCACATCTTGGCGTTAAAGGAAATCCGTTCCTTTGTCTCCCTCCTACCACTTGATGCCTTTGGTACAACTCCTTACACTCAACAACTGACCCAAAAGTATACTTTTCTTAGATATGGCCAAATATTGACAAGAAAAGTCAGAGGACAAGCTACAACTCTCTGGAGGTTCGCTAGTCCAGCTGCTCCACTTCCCCGTTTACAAAGGCACATTTATGATTAGATGGGCGGGGACTCAACACCAGGCCCTCCTAACTGGCAAGTTCGCCATCTGCACCGTACTGAAAGGAGTGGCGCACCAACGAGAAAGGCGTAAAGCTGCGTTTATACTTCATACTCTGCGGCAGCTTCCACCAGCGTTCCTAGCGTCAGACGCAGTGTCAGCGACATAAGAAGGTCAGGTATCGGTCATAGAAGTCTGCAGCGTCTGCCAGCGTTTAACAGTGTCCACCAAGGACCAGCAGCAGAGTGCTGGTAGAGAGTCTGGGGCAATAGGAGGGTACCAGCTGTCTGCTACCCTCCTATCTTCCCATACTCTACCAGCTGTCTGCTATCCTCCTATCGCCCCGTACTCTCCACTCCCAGACGCTGCTTGGTCACTTGTAGATCGATGAGATCGAAATGTTTATACTCTCCTAACCGCGCCGACATCGCCGGACGCTCGGAAGCTGGTGAACGTCACTGGTAGCTGGTGGAAGCTGCCACGAAGTATGAACGCAGCTTGATCGTAGCTGGTAGTGAGTCCCCGCCCACCCACTTTCCGTGGAATGTTCTCCAAAGCTTTCTTGGGCGGCAAGGTTTTTTCAGTTTTTCTCTAATTGCGACCTCAGCATGTATAGTCATCGGTTTAGCGTTTTGGGAGAAACCCCAGCGCTCCAAGCGTTTTGAGTGTTTTGAGCGAAAGGAAAGTATAGGTGACCAAGCACACTAGATCGATACCTATACTTTCCCTTTTGCTCTATACGACGATGAAAAGTATAAACACAAATTTACCCGAATCAAACTAGTCACTGTGATCGCAGTTTTTGAAATGTCGTTCACAACATCAAATGAAATTGCGCTCTCATGACTGTATACGTTTCTTTGCGGATCTTAGGGGCATCACCGACCTGTCAGTGCCGTTCTTCTTGCAATTCCGATCGCAAAGTTCATCACCGCCGTGTTGCGTGCAGACGTTGTCGTCGTCAGACACCTCATTTCGAGTGATTTCCTCTTCACCAAGTGCTTTCGTTCGCAACGCAGCGTGTATCCGATTAGCGGCCGTCTTACTGTGCTGTCCGGGTAGCTTCTCCTGCTTGCGACGTCTTTCTGAGCGCCGATTTCCACCGTCAACCCGATGAACTGGCGATCGTCTCAACTGGCACAGGCATCGTTTGTTGAATGGATAGTCATGCTGACGAACGCAACGAGCGGATTTCCTGTAAAATCACTTCTATCAATAAGCCTTCAATGGGGCTTCTTCGCCTTACCCACCCTTCAGCGCCATCGTGAAGACATTTCTCGCGACACTGTAGCAGTCCCAATCGTCCGATGCAGAGCTGGTCGTATGATAACGGCACCGAGCGATGGACGATTGTCATGCAGTCACCTTAAAATTATGGGCAATACGAATTGACAGTTTATTGATTTCATGGCCTCGACGCGATTTCTTCACTCCCGCCAGTATGAGCAAGGATTTGCACCTGGCGCGAGGGTAGTTGGAGAAGGGGGGGGGGGGAGAAGGACACGATGGCCCTGCAGAGGCGCCTTTGAGCCTCCTCGACTGAGCCTTACCGCAGAATCTATTATAGTGCTCTCACTCTTCTGAACAGAATCAGCCTCACAGACACAGGAGCGTTACGTGCAGCATCCAGACCGATTGCGGGGTCGTTTTTGCTGCAGACCCCGGGGCATATCAGGGAGCTGGGTCTGTCGCGGCACCAGTCCTTCTCCATATTTTGCTGAGGTGTGGAAAGCGTCAACAGTTGGTGGTAAACGGGCCGGCGTCGCGCCAGACCCAGCTTCTCCCTGACATGCCCCAGGAACCGCAACGAGCAAATGTGTTCCTCCTGCGCTCGCTCCCCCGTTCTCCGCTCCCTCCTTCTACCCGACAACCATAGCAGCTACCCCATTTTAGAGCGGTTTCCTCTTTCTTTCTAGGATTTCCTTTTTTTCAAGTCATTCTACCCTATTTCCTGAAAATCTTATTGACACACCATGCGCTTCTTTGGTGACCAGACTTCACCACCATCAGTCTTTTCTTGTCTAGAAGAGCTTCTACAAGTGTCAAGGAACCCCACGAGACAGTACTCCAATGATTCTATAGACAGTATTCGATTCGCTCGCAAGTTTATTGGAGCAGCACAGTTTGGTTTCTACGGTTAACCTCGAGTTAGGAGTTGATCTAATTCACTCGAGCGCTGTCATGTCGCAATCAGAGGACTCAAAGCCCTCAAGCAGCATGGCTAGATATTATTAGCCTAAGGGGGCTTGGTTTTTCCACGTGAAAAATTGGCTCTAATCCTTAGAATTTTCCTAGAAGCAAGAGTAATCCGGAAGGGGAGTGTAGCCTTCAGCGAGACTCGAGCACGCGATTTTCTGCTCTTTTGTTCCCTCCCACTAACAGTGTCTTTGTCCAGTGGCCCCTGCCGCTATAGCTTCAGCCTTCGCGGATGGAGGCGTGGCCTCTACTTGTTCTCCGCACTCCGACAACCTTAGCGTCATGTCCCTTGAGCGCGACTACACAGTGAGAGCTGTCTTGATCCTTTTCATGTCAGAAAATGCAGTAATTTATCTCTCACCTTCCCTGCAGAGTCTTCTTTTCAGCGCGTTTCTGTCGTGCAATCCAAGGTCCTTACTCTCTCCACCACCACGATGTTTTTCCAGTGGTTTCTTGATCGACGTTCCCAAATTGGTCACGATTGATGTAGGCTTGTCCACTGCATACGGAATCTAAAGGAGTTTTCATTTGAGGAAGTCGGAAGTTTAGGGCCAAAGGGGGCTGTACAGATGCACTTCTTGGGCTATAAAAGGTTCGATTTTTGCCGTGGCTCTGCCCACTGTGGCAATTTTCACAGGTCTATAGTCTGGTGCAGTTTACAGTAGGCTGCCACGTGATATTAACTCTCATTCCGCGCTCATCGCATGAGCGAGTCCGCCCTGGCATTGTGTAATCTTCATTGGCATGTCTTTCCTATTGTACCAAAGAGCAGGAGAGCCCACCAATCGGGAAAGCACTAGTGGGTTTGACTCCGCCTATACGACGAGCGTGTAATGTGCACCGGAGGCGAAATGGGCGCCAATAAAGTGGTTGAAGATTGGTCCACCGTAGTTAACAGTAGGGGCTCAAGTGTTGTAGTCTGAGCGGCCGCTTACCTTGTGCGCGGTCCGGAGTCGAATCGCGGATCGGCTCCCGCCCGGATCCAGCAAGCCTTCAACCCTCTCCACCCTCCCTCGAGAGCGGAAAACTGGTAAGGTTGCTCTGGTAGGGTGAAAACACTGACTTGCTCACCGACTGGCCCTCGCGAGTCCCTACGACTACGACTCTGAGTGAGGGTAGAAAGCGTGGCGCATCTCGAAAAAGGATCGAAGAGGTACGAAGAGGTAGGCGGGAGTTTTACTCTTCACTGTTGTAGATTATCGTGGGTGAAACAAGTGAAGAGGTCTCAAGGAGCATACTGTTTGTGGGTAACCGACCGCGCAAACAGAATTAGGCACAGTCCACGCCGATGAGATGGGCGGAGTCCAGCCCGGTTGTCAACCCTCTTTACGCCTTCCTCGTTGGCAGGACCTCTTCGTTAACATATCAGAAATTAGCAACGCATCAACAAGGTGTGCGGAGTAGTAGGCTCCGCCCATATGATTAGCGTGGACTGTTCCTCCTGAGCACTGAACTTCACAGTGAAAGAATTATGAATTGAAATATCCCAGAAGTAACTGCTCAAAAAATTACCTCGACCAGTTTCGGTGCACTTTTGGAGATTCGCTGTGCACTGTCAATTGGAGCTTCACGAACTATCGGACACTCGGTGAATTTAGCGGAGAGGTCGTCAATGAGAACGACATCACCGTCGGACACGTTCGTGAATTTGATGGAGATCTGAAGTTTTAGAAATTTCAAAATATCATTGATTATCCTTAGAAACATGGCTGAGCAGTTCCCCTCCGGGAACAAATCACGTTTGAGAAACGAGTTGGTAAGTGCGAAGGAAGCAATTGAAGCATTGATAAGGGGAAGCAATGAAGCATTATAAGGGAATTGCTTTTCCCTTTTCCGAGCCCCACAACATTGGAAGCCTCCCCCTCTCCCAGTACGATGAACAGGGACTTGCTTGCCAGTGAAGAAGGCGCAATGGCTATCTGACGCCGCCTCATGCTTAGCGCGGATAGCCTCTGAAGACAGGGAACGCGCAGAGCGCTCAGAAAGCTGTCCCGGTGTGACCCCCATGTAATCAGCCAGATAGAGGCAGGTTGCTTGACTTAACCGCTTACATCTGAGTTCCACCCCGAGCACCCTACTCACATCCAAACGTCGTCGGGATTGCTCTCTTCCCCAAAATCTTGCAGTTTTTCCAAAGGAAAGCAGTTCAGTAAGTAGAACTTGCCTGAAATTTCGATGTCTGTGGAATCACCTCGTTCATCGGTCGACCATTTGAAATGCGAAGCGGTGCACACAGCAGAGCGTCCTCCTCTCTAAACTTTCATTTCTGCAAGCAATTTACTATGGAGCTTCCTACTGGCGCAGTTTGTCGACGGGGAGGGGGAAAGGAGGGGGGGGGGTGAGCATTTTGGGCTTCTACTGCTTCACTAGTTCCGGTTTACAAGTCCACTCTGGTGAAACCTGTGAACTTTGTGAAGCTGGAGCAAGCTCGTCGAGCCACCATGGTAAAACCTGTCAACTCACGAAAAGGCTCTCTAGATAGGTCGACACGTCGATGGAAGTAGCAAATGTGCAAAATGCCCCCTTCCTTATCGCCGAACTGCCCCCTTCCTACTTACTAACCGAAATAAGAGAGATGGGGGAGCTGCCAGGTCCGCTCATAGTTCAAGTTTTATCAGAATAAGCTCCAAGAGAAGCAACCACGCACAAGAAAATCCGTATTTTCCATCAAAACAAGACAAGCCATACTCGAAATCCCTGAGATGGGGTGGGCGTGGCTGCGTACTTCAACTAAACGTGGCGGTGGCTGTGCTTTTGGTGAGATATTTTCATTTTGACACAATTGTGGTCATGTCTCTGTCCAACACTGAACAAGATGACAGTTGTCTCAAACTGAAATATCCCACGAGTAACCCATTCTATGCCATTTTTGAATGCCACGCCTACTCCGTTCCAGGGATAGGGAGTGTATAAGTTGTTCTTTTTTCCTTTGAAATACTACGCAATTACTTTACGTCCACTTCTGGCACGGTAAACCACACTCGAGCTATTGTGGAAAGTGTGCTTTCCTTATGTTTGGAAAAGCGTACCCTTATCCCGTGTAAAAATGTTACCTGAAGCATAGCTCGGCGTTAACCCATGCCCCTCGCCAGATTCTCGCCGTCACGTTTACAGAATCCATCGAACAGAGCTCTGAACGTGTTGAACTATAGTAGGAAATAGCGTACATAAATTAGAAATTATACGAAATTGTAAAATGAAGAAATAAATATGTGTGACAGGGGCTACCCCTGGACGGGGCAGGCCTCCGTCATCGACCCCAGACGGACGGAAGGCTCCGTTGACCTGACATGACCATAGGATAAGGGTAAAAAATGTAGCACTTACCCGGGCAAGTGTCGACTTGCATTACACCGCTTCCGCCTTTCGCTACACCCACAAGATAGCGTCGAGCTGAAAATGAAAAAGATTTTAGGTGCAGTAACCCGAAAACCCTGTGAACGATCAAAGCGTCGATCCCGTGAACCTAAGCATGATGGAGAGGTGGAGAGGGGCAGGGTTCGGCCCGGCACCAATCCGTTTTCTAATTGTTGTCGCTTCACAAATGGTGTTGAACGGGCTGTCGCCTCCCCCTGACACGCCCCAACCAAGACCCCCTGACAGCGGCCCCAGCATCCCACAGCGATCTCGAAACTGCTAACGTTTCGAAGATATGTAACAACCTCGAGGGGACAAGTCTCAAATCTGATCTGATCTGGCATTTATAGAGAGTATAGGCAAGCCCCCCCCCCCTCCTCACACATTCCCCGTAGATTGTAAGTGCATCTGGAGTGACCGCCCTAGTCGATCGATATCTAGCTGTTGAATAATCTTCGAAACTTCTTACAAGGCTCATGACAAATCGGAGCAAAAATATGAGGATTGCGAATCACTACGTTCTTACTCCCTAGCTGCGCAATGGCATTGCGCAATATGGTTCAGCCACGTATCACATCACCACACATAAATCGATTGCCATCCACATAGCATATATCGCCAATTCTCTACCGTGCGATGACAACAGGCACAGCTGCCGGCGAAAATTTCAGCTGAATCAGCTAACTATTCATAAAATACTAGGTTGAGCTATCCATACAGGGGCGGATGAAGGTGGTAATTCCGTCCGTATTCAAGTCATTTCAGTAGCAATTACAATCAATCATCCGCGTGGGTGGTCGCGGACGCCCACACTGAAGATCTTACGTTCATATTCTTTCGAACGGCGAACTAGCGTAGCAGGGCAGATCTGATATTGGTAGGCAAACATATCAAAATTATCACAAAAGCTCTACTAACAATCGCAGAGTCGCATTAAATGTCGCGCGTCTGGCGACTTAGCAAACGCTAACTATGAACCAGCTACAACGATCCCAGAGATGCACTGGTCGACGGTGGCGACATCGAGCGATTCCAATGCGACGCTCGTTCTATACCTCCCCCCCCACTATGCCGGCGAATCAAATGTGACCCATAAACGGGTTCTCATAAATCAATGCCCAGCAGAGTAATCATCCTATCGACGCAACTATTACCTTTGCGAGGCAAGGGGGGATACTCCCCTTTGCAAAACTGGGATAACCGCTACAGGATTACCATGGTTCATTCTCTGGCCCTTGCAAGGAGCCCCTTGGGCCAGGGGAGAAATCCTGAACCCCCACCACGGGTATTATAGTTTTGCATAGTCCTTTAACAGCCCCTCTAAGGTTTCAGCGCCCGATTTGTTCTGTACTAATGGGGCAACACAAGAATTGCAGTCCTTTCTCTTGTAGACGCTGGGGCGTGTCAGGGAGGCCGAATTTTGCGCGGCGCCTCCATTTTCCATCAACTGTTGTAGCTTGCCTAAGTCAATAGCTGGTGGAGAAGGGCTGGCGGCGCGGTATACGGCACGGTCTACCACCCCCCCCCCCTTCCCTCCCTCCCCACATGCCCCAGCGTCTGCAACGAAAACGACTGCATGGTGGGATACATCAGTTCGACTTTCGACCTACCTTTACACAAACTGCATTCGCCGTCAGTGGCACTAGCGTTGAATGGCTGGTGAGGTCCTGCAGCGAAAACGAGTGCCTGAATAGAGTTTAATCTTTGCGTTCAGTCAAAAATGATAGACAAGAAAAGTGATGATCCACTTTATAAGTTCAACTGGAAAACGATTTCTTGAACGTTTATTATATAAACTTTCCATCACCATTTTATAAAGGAAATCCGATACAATACGTTGAGAAAGCAAGTTAGTAGTAAAAAATAATAATTATATAATGATTATATATGTAATAATTAGTAGAAATCAATATCCATTATACCGAAGATTGGGCAGATTTCTGCTGCCGGGCATACAAAACTGATCCGGTAGCCGACATTTGCAGATGAACGATCTGATCCCGAAGAATGACAGTAACGTTCCTGAAAAAGGGTAGAAGCTTGACCAAAGACCTTCGTGTCCGCGATAGGCGAGTGAGCATTAGTATCCCCCATTAGCCTATCTCTTTCTTTTGTAGCATCAGAAGGAGCCACGCACCATCGTGGGAAGCCCGGGTTAGACTACTCCGCCCACTCGTTTGCCGTGGAATGTGTTTTCAGTGAGCGATGCTATGTATAAAAAAAGTGAAGTGTAGTGGCGTTCGAGTGGAATGCGCTACCCGCGCTGACGACGGACTTGGGGGTGTACGTAGTTGAGCATATCAGAGGGGCGCGAAAGAGGCGTTGCCGTGCCATTCGTTCCAGGACCCAATTTATTCGATGGAGCAGAGGTGCAGCGTCACGGCGCGGGAACCGATGCCGCCGGCGCCGCCCTAGTGTCCAGAGTCGATCGATATTTGGCCGCGTGATTGAGCAACTTTCTCCCGTTTGCTCTAGAAACATAACCGGGGGGGGGCACCGATTGTGTATCCTCGCGCGTCTACGCGCGCCGTCGTCAAGTCTCAAAGCTGCCCAAGGAAAATTTTGCCAGCTTGCACGCGATGCTGTGCCTCGAATGTCATGAACAAGGCCCCAATCTACAGTATAGAACAAAAGTCACCTGTGCTTCGCAGAAAACAGCCACTGGCCATCCTATGAGGGTACTCGAGTTGACATCGTTGTTCACAGTCCTTGTCAAAACCCTCGCGCTGAGGGCAGATATCTTCATTGATCTCTGAAATCAATAAGAAAACAGTAATGCCCCTTCGGTTACAAAGCTCTTTTATTCAACTTTATAAGAAAACTCCCAAATTGAAGGGACTATTTCTTTGGAAAGAACCTTCAGTGGGTAAAAAAGTCAAGAGGTGAAATCTGGCTCCAGTTTTCTTAAAATGACTGAACGAAATAGATTTTAATGAAATGAAGCAGCTAACGGATTGTCCCTCCAAGGCGACTTTCCAAAAACTCAACAAGGTTTTCCAGTTTTAGAAATCCGCAAGGTTTTCAGCTTTCTCACGAGCCAATTCGATCCCTAGCTCCATATTTTCCTAGCAGCGATGATGGCTATCAGATAGCTGACAGGCTAGAAATCATCATCCAAATGGATTGAACCGTACCGAACCGGTCGAGAAAGAGATCGGCTATGCAAATGTCCCCAATCAAGAAAGACAGGATTGCGCAAGCCACCGGGGATCCCTTATCTGATCATGGACAAGGAACTGAATTCCTTACTGATGTGGGTAAAGAATCAATGAAAATCAGATGCCCAGCTAGGACTGTTTTTATGTGGAACTTTTAAATCTGCCAAACTGGGTCACTCGGAACAGTAAGCAAAGTTGTGAAATTGCAGATGCTCGCTGTGTAAATTACTGAAAGATCATTAGGCAGAAAAAAGGGACAAAAAAGAGCAAAACAACGTTGGCCTGCTGCCTGAATTTAGAGCGCTGTTCTGCTAGGGAGGGTCTTTTGCACTTCACTAGTTTCTCTTGCTAGTTCTTGTTGAATTACACGTCTCAGCCTGTGGACTCTTGTTGAGTGTGAGGGAACTCATGCTTTGCATAGCTTCACAGGAGTTTACTGGTCTCTGCAGAGCGCATCGGCAATAAAACAGGTTGTAAAATCAGTAAAAATGCCACCCACCCACGCCAAATGCCGCCACAAATTTAGGAGCTAACAGTTCCCTGGAGCTTGCCCAGAAAGCCTCATACAACGACTATATCTGTAAATTTGTAGCGGATCCAGCTTTTAGAGACGTTCGCTTTTGGATGACGAAAACACGCGTGTTTTCTGTTAATCGAAAGAACAAATTAATTTATCTTCCCGACGAGGGGCGTGGCGTGGATGTGGACAAGCCACGTGAGGTCAGGCGTGGTCTGGAGCGCTGGAAGCGCTTCAAGTTACAAAGCTGACTGAAGATGGCAAGATGACAAGGATGACAGCTAAGGGGACAACAGGCTTGCCACAGTAATGTTTGAGATCACCCCACCCTCTTCCCTCCCTCCTCGAAGGTACAAGGGCGAAAGGTATCGGCGTTGAAACCCTCTTGGGAGCGTGCCATGCAATCACTTCCACTTACGTTAGATCACGGTGGCAGTTGGGCTGAACCACTTATACTGAATGACGTCTAGCGTCCAACAGATGTGGAAGCCTACATTTCTACCCTCCTAGACGTCTAGTACCAGTAAGGCGATTCCGAAGAGGTGGAAGGCTTGGCTGGCCCGGACAGGAACCAATCCGAGAACCCTATTCCCGAACCGATCCTCACCCATCAGGATACAGCATCCTTGTGTGGGAAACACATAAGGGGGGGCCGCTACCTTTTCCGCTGGGGAGGGGGTGATATTTGGGGAGCGAGGAGAGGGTGTATGTGCCTTCAGGAGGAATTTGCTGTGCTGAGAAATATTTTCTTGACTTTTCGGGTGATTTTCTGATTCATGCATACTATCTCCCCGTGCTCGACATTATTTAGGGAAAAGTTAGGAACTTTTCGGAATATTGAGTTGCGCAGAGTGGGGGAAAGGGGTCGTACTGGTATCTCCCTTTCTCGCCGAGGGGGGATGGTACCTGCACCACCATTTCTCACCTTAAGTTACTCTACCTGGTGAACCAATACTTATAATAAGAACTGCTTCCAGCGTCAATTCACCTAGTTTATTTTAGCAGTACTGGAGGGTACGACTTCCAGTAGTTTACAACCGATATCCTGTCCTGAAAGCTTAACCGGTCCAGGATGGCTGAGTTCCTGTTTTCGGTAATGGTCATGAACCGTGAAAACTTCGAAAAGCCTAAAAAGTGGCACAACAAGTCGCCATGAACTGCACTTTGAACCGTCGCCAACAAAAGGCGAAAGCCGTTTCCAAAGATGGACGGGGTCGATACGGGGCTCGATGTATGAATGGATAAGAACAGGTCGTTGAACCGGAATAATTGGCCCTGCAAGTATGTGAAGGTGATGAGCGTAGTTTTACGTATGGC